GCGGCGCAGGTGGGTGTCTGCGGGGCGGCCCGGGGCGGCGCCGGGCAGGGCGGCTGCCACAGGCCTGTGCTCCGGAGGGCTGCGCGGTACGGTACGGTGCGGCGCGGCACGGAGTGGGGCGGCCCCGTGGCGCAGCCCCCGCGCGCGGCTCCGCGCTGCGGGCGGCGGGAGAAGCGCGCCGTTTGCCCCGTCGCTCGTCACGGGGCTGCCCGGGTGAGCCGCAGGCCGGGCACCGCGGCGGCGGGGCGCTCCGCTCGCCCTGCTTCCCCCCGAGCGTCTCCCGTGTGAGTGCCGGGCAGCGGAGGGGGAGCTGGTCCCGGCCGGCACCAGGCGGGCTGGAGCGCCCTGAGGAYATCCAGGGGCTTGTGGTATTCGACAGAGTGTGACACTGGAAGAGTTCCTGTTTGCTTGTTTTTTTTCCCTTTCTAGCCATCTCTCAAGTTTCCTGTAAGTAGAAGTCCACAAAATAGTTCCTAAAAACCTAATTGTGCTTTGCCTCGGGCAAACCAGAGGAATTGCAGAGAATGAGCTGCACTAACACCACAAATGCTTTCCTTCGTAGAGGGAAGCATGGCAGCCCCTCAGGAGAAAAGGTCTTCCGAAGAAAGGAAACACAGAAGTGCCCCAAACGGAGCTCCAGCRTCTCGAGGGCAGTGGGGAAGAGCTTGGTGAGAGCAGCTGGTCACCCTCGTTACTCACTGCCTTCCTGATCGGTTCAGGCCTTCCTTGGGGTTTCCACTTTCCTTTTAAGCCTGGCTTTATTAATAAAGATGCGGTTGCCTTGAACTCTCATAAAACGAGGTGCAGTGCGAGCGGCCGGATCCTGCAGGTTGTAAACAGTGATGTAAAACGCGGCCTTGCTTCGCTTGGCCTTGGTGTGACGCTTCCCTCATTCTGTTGAATGGCAAACTGTTGGCCTTGGTACTCCAGAGCTGCAGGAAAAATTCACGTTGAGGCCTTATTTTTTTGCCAGCTTATTGTGATTGAATGTTTTTATCTTTAAARAGATATTTAGATGCATAGCAAAGAAGAGAGCTTTGTTCAGGTATCTCAGACCACCTGCCAATGCCCAGTTACATAAAACAGCTAAATAGCTTTTTTATTTCTTTATTTTTATTTTTTATTTGCTAGAAGGCTGGGGTTAAAACACACTTCTGCTTGTAAACTCATCGTAAAAATCATCAACGTTTGCTCTTCAAAAGTGTAACAAAATGTTTGCTCAGAGTTATAAAGCAGATATCCATCTATGGTGCTGCCAGCTGACATCTGCTGCTGCAGCAAGATTTATGACCCATATCCTTGGCCTCGAAGTATTGTGCAAATACTGGAGTATTATGTTGCAACTAGAAACAACTGAGATGTATGTTGTTACGTGGCTTGCCTCTATACACAGTATGTGGTAGAACAAGTTTAATTTCTGACTATCTAGAGTCTGTCTTTTCTATGAGCTTAAGCTTTGCTTAATACGTTTTTGACTCTGTTACCACCTCTACTGAATCCTGTACAAATTATACCCCCAGTTACTGTTTTCATGTATCTGATGGCAGAAATAATATGGTTTGGGGGGAGGCAGGGTGGGAGGAGAGAGGTGCCTGTTCTGTTGCACTGATTCACTAGCAGCACAGGTTTGTAACACATTGTGATAAACCCATCAAAATATTTCCAGTTTTCACTCGGTTAGTCTAGAAGATCCATTGAAAAAAATGTCTGTCTTAATCAGACCAAGCAGATCTCTGTTCCCATTGAAGAAAATTGAAAAAAAAAWGTGTGTTCTGTTTTGGATTACAGGGAAGTAGACTGGTTTTCCTTGGCAAGCATCATTTTCCTGCTCATGTTTGCACCGCTCATTGTGTATTACTTCATAATGTCCTGCGACCAGTACCAGTGCTCCCTGCTCAGTCCTCTCGCTGACCTGCTGCTGGGGAACAGGCGCCTGTCCGACATCTGGGACAAGACTCCTCCGCTGACCGGCAGGGCTGCTGCCATCTATGGCCTTTGGGTCACTTTCCAGGTACCTTGCTGAGTTACAGCGTAGATGGTAGCGGCTCTTTCTTGAAAACCAGCTCTCCAATGAATCCTTTTTCATGAAAAATAAAAGAAACATCACACAAAGCATCCCGTGTTTGGAATCCCAACAAAGCTCTTGTGCTTCAAAGCTAAATATTAAGCATAGACTYAATGTTCCTTTGCCGTCAGAGTGTGCTGTTCTGGTATGACGGGTCTCAGTAGCTGTAGAGCTGTAGGCAGCAGTGCTGAATGAAGGCAAGGCAGCGTGCACGTGTTTGTGTGTTCCAGCATGCACAAGTGTCTGTGCTTGAGAGGAAACCAGGGCAGAGCTAMCTGGAACCATATGGAGTTTTTAGGTAGCTGAAACATAATCTATCCACTGTCAAATTATGTAGATCCATCAAAAAATGCCAAGAATTTATGTGGCCCTCAGATGGTTGGGGAACAGTTTTGCTCTTTTTGTGGAGAAATTTTGCTTTACAAGCACAGTTTGTTGGTTTTGCTGTTGCTTAGGAGGATATAACAGTATGCTTAAACACTGTGCCCAGCAGTGAGTTGGGGAATGTGCAGGCGGATGCATGACACTGTTGCTTGCTTCCATAGCTACTCTGTGCTCTGAGCATCTCGCACAAATATAAAGTCAGATATATCAATATAATTAAATTTACACACCAATACAGTAGAAGGGCTAGAATTTCTGTAGCCAGAACTAACAGGACATTGCTGTATGAAGTATCGCTTACCTGTATAATAACTGTAGTTTGTCAAGCAACTTGCATATAATACTGATTAGCTTTCAAATTAAAGGATAACACCTTGAAGTTAGTTAGCAAATTTCCCTCCGCCCTGTAAAAGAAGAATGGGAAGCCTATATGCGGTACCTAAAGGGTAAAAAAAAAAAAAAAAACGTGTAGTAGCTTGGGCATCTTACTAGTCTAAAAGTACATCAGTTACATCTTGCAGTAATGCTTAAGCAATGCTTATTTGAAACTGCTGAGTATTTTCTTTGGTATATGTATTAGAGACAGTTTTGTCTAGTTTTTCATTGTGACTTTCTCCCTTCTAGGTGATTTTGTATGCCTTTGTTCCYGATTTCTGCCATAAGATTCTTCCTGGATACGTAGGAGGTGTGCAGGAAGGTGCTGTTACTCCTGCTGGTAAGGTATTCTTTAGAATATGGCCACACTATACAGTTTTTAAATGATAATATTTCTTTATTTAAAATATTGAAATAATCCATATATGTGTAAAGGAAACATGCACATAAAAACATTTACCTTTCTGTTTACTTAACCAAAAAAACAAAACAAAGTGTAACAGAGTAAAATGAGACCTTAGTCAATTTTTGCAGAGATTCCAAGTCCACTGTTAGCAAAAAGAGTAGAGAAGGAGGCACAGTCCAGTGTAGCCTGATGGTTACACCAGAATACAGTGAAGCTTTTGTGAAGGTACCATGTGAGAAATATATTTGGGAAGGTGAAACACAAGGGAGATGGGAAGAACTTGAGTATTTGGTAGAGCTTTCTGGATCAAGAGCTGTACTAGAGCAGTATCATGGTAACATTTGGGGTTTTTTCTTTACCTTTTAGGTATAGTAAATAAGTATGAAATCAATGGACTTCAGGCTTGGATCATTACCCATGTGCTTTGGTTTGCAAATGCCTATTACTTCCACTGGTTCTCACCTACCATCATTTTTGACAATTGGATTCCTCTTCTGTGGTGTGCCAACATCCTGGGATATGTAGTTTCCACGTTTGCAATGATTAAAGGCTACTTTTTTCCTACTAATGCCAAAGACTGGTATGTGGTTTCTAATAATGAGAGAATAGTAGGAAATCTGACATAACATTCAACGCTCCATGGAATAGTAATGAAAAAATGTGTGTTATTGGCACAGTTAAATAGGCCAAGATAAGCAGGACTGCAGTTCTTTGCTTAATTTCCCCCATCCTTTATGTTTCATGCTTCATGTCATGTGCTTGCTGGAGCCTGGGTATCATCCATACATCCATTCCTATCTGAGACTGAGAATAAAGTTATCGTTAGTATAGYAGAGTAATACTGAGCGTAAAATATAATGCTTTTGAAGCTAGACTTTATCTTTACTAATATAATACTTCAGATCAATTTGTCCAATGCAAACATGGCTTGATTTTATGATTTTTATAAGCATTAAGTGCCTTGGGAAATCAAGTGAAGTGTATAGACAGAATAGCAGTTACCTGACCTTGTGTATGTCTGCATTAATTTGTAATCTCTTTTTCTTTCCAGCAAATTCACTGGCAACTTTTTTTATGACTACATGATGGGGATTGAGTTTAATCCTCGGATAGGAAAGTGGTTTGATTTCAAGCTCTTCTTCAATGGGCGCCCTGGTATTGTGGCGTGGACTCTAATTAACCTTTCCTATGCTGCTAAACAACAGGAGCTCTATGGCCAAGTAACCAACTCCATGATCCTCGTCAATGTCCTGCAGGTAARACTGATGGAGGAAAATAAGCATTCTAGAAACAGATACAGCCTGAACTAGGACCCGAAGTGAACATTGGCAGCAGTTTGTTACTTTAGTTGGAGCAACATTAGGGTTTGTGTTTTCTTTTTCCTAAGGATAGCACCACATGTAGCTTTCCTTTTTTTTAATGCAAGCTGGACACAGCTATTGATCTCTCCACATCTAAAAGTTGCTTATCTGGGTCTGTACATTTCCCTGAAACAGATCCTAAACTAATAAATAAATAATAGTTTGGATTTTCTCATTCCTGTGTGCAAATGGGGGCCCTCTTGACAGACGCTCTGTCTCTACCCTTGGTGAGGTGCGTGACACTGAATGGAAAAGAGTCTGGAGTGGTCAAATGCAGGTGCCTTTCTTGAGTGGTATGTCCTTGGAGCAGCACATGGAGAATATTTGCAATTGTAATCTTGATTGATATTGCTCTGCACTAGTTATTATTGTTTTAGCTATATGGATGTCTTATTGTTCTTCCTTATGTGTGTGATCATGTTCTTCTTAATACTGTATTTTGAAGTGGTGGAATAAAACAGGTCAGTTTTGAGAGCTTGCCATAGGATAGCACAGAAAGTTTAGGATGATGATATTAAACAAGGTAATTGGTGACATTGCTTGCTTATTAAGCAAAATCATTTTGTTTTAGGGTATTTATGTTTTGGACTTCTTCTGGAATGAGGCCTGGTATTTGAAAACCATCGATATCTGCCACGATCACTTTGGATGGTACTTGGGCTGGGGAGACTGTGTTTGGTTACCATACCTCTATACCCTGCAGGTAAAAATATGGTACAAATAAGGGTTTGTGCTAACTTGCCAGAAATTTTTCAGAAACTTTCTCTTCACCTTCCCTTCTACCCCTTTTGCTGTATATTTTTCTAAATCCTTTTGGTCTCTTTTATATCTCTATGAATCTCTTCTGCTACGTTTGGTGTGCACCCTCCCAACTTCTCTCATTATTGTTTCCCATTAAAAAACATGACTTGGGGAATGGAGAGGGAATGTAGGATGCAGGTTTTCTTGAAAAATCTCCATGAATTTAGTAGTACAGTGGACCTGCTGACTCTTTCTACTTGTCTCTTTTGGTCACTGAAGGTCAAGGAATCAGTCTGGCATCCGGGAATGCACTCAGGGTAGAGAAAAGTTGCCTTGGAAATAAATCACTGATTGTGTCTCTCCTGCTCCCCAGGGTTTATATTTGGTTTACCACCCTGTGCAGCTTGGCACGGCTAACGCTGTGGGGATCTTGATCCTGGGCTTGGTTGGCTATTACATCTTCAGGGTGACCAACCACCAGAAAGATCTCTTTCGGGGCACCAACGGCAACTGCAAGATCTGGGGGAAGAAGCCGGAGTACATTGAGTGCTCCTACACATCCGTGGAYGGGACGAAGTACCACAGCAAGCTGATGACCTCGGGCTTCTGGGGATGGGCCCGGCACTTCAACTACACGGGAGACCTGATGGGCTCGCTGGCCTATTGCCTGGCCTGCGGCTCCGCACACCTCTTGCCCTATTTCTACATCGTTTACATGACGATTCTGCTCACRCACCGATGCATCAGGGATGAGCACCGCTGCCTCAGCAAGTACGGGAAGGACTGGAAGCGCTACACGGCCAAAGTGCCCTACCGGCTCATCCCGGGAATATTTTAAGACTAGGACAGAATCCAGGGGAAACAAAAGGATTTTTTTTTTTTTTTAATACAACGAGCTGGTGAGCACAGTAAAATCAACAAAGCAGTTGCTGTAGGGAACTCATAATGCTCTGGAAGAGAAAAGGTGACTGGACAGCAGTTCTTCATGTACATAAAGAATGTGCCTCTGCTAAACAGTCACACTGTACATAAAGTAAATGAAAAGAGGCACTGGAATAGATCTGCTAATAAGACTGTTATGCCTGGTACCTTTTTCCCCTCTAGAAAATAATTTGGGATTGAAGAAGATTTGCATGTATTGATATTCCTGAAATCTCTTCTATGCAGGAAGGAGACTTTACCATTGAAGTAGTTTGCAGTGAGATGGCAGTGGAGGAAATCAGGTGTTGAGCCGTGTTTGAGCCGTTTATGAAGCAGTTCTGCACCATGGCTGTGCGGGGGCTATGCCTGTGGCAGCAGTGACTTACAGTCAGTGACTCTCAGAAGAAGGTTGTGTTGTTTCTGGCTTTTCTGAGCAGTTAACTGGGCAAATACTGAATGTGATCCTAACTGGTGCTGCAGGAAGGCTGCTTTAAGCTGATAGAAATACTTTCAAAAACTGATGTCAATCAGTGTAGTTGAATAGCTATATTTGTTAACAGCACTTGAGAGTTTGGCGTATGAGCAAGTGGGTATTGCTCMAACCTGTGACCAACTTGCTTTGCAAAGGTTTTGAATTCTTATGTGGTTTAAAAAAAWACTTGGTCCCCCATAATTTTTGACTAAAATCAATATTTGTAAACTAAATATTTGTAAAACTTTAAGAAATAAATGTCTGGTTTCGCAACAAAATATCCTTTTTTTTCTTTTGATATATATGTATTTTTCTATCACATAGTTTTCTTTCRGAGTTCTGTGTTTCTATAGTTCTTCTAAACTAACTGTAGTGTCAGTGCAGTGAAGAGCTAGTAACTATTAGTAACTAGTAACTAGTAACTATTTTATCRCCATTTTAGCAGATAACTATATCAATACAAGACACTGTTCCCAACAGTGCTTTCATGAAGGTGGGACTCYTGTAATTCCCTACAACTCATAGCACCATTTTCTCACCCATGAGAGGTGTAAAGGAAAGATGTGTGTACAGTGTCTCTTCTGCAGCAACCTYGCTGCAGCCCGTGGGCTGGGAGCCTCAGTGGTTGCTGCACGGGGGCTATTGCAGTTAATGCTGCTTTTGGGGATGTCTGTGCCTGTAAACTGGTTTGATGAAGGAACCTGTTTGGAGTGGTGGCTTAGGAGGAGGAAATACTGCCACATTGACTGCGACAGAGCCTCAAATTTGGTACTCTTACTAACGAGCGGTGAGCCTGCAGGGCTGTTGGTCCCCRCCAGGATTGCAGGGTTTTGGGCTGAGCCTGGCTTTGCTGCAGGGCTTGGGGAGTTCCTTTCTGCAGCTTCCCCAGAGCCCTGGATTTGCAGCTTCCGTAGCCTTGGAGCTGGCACTGACGTCTTGCTGTTAATGCCAGGGCTATCTAAATGCCCCAGGCTGATCCGGACTCGATACCGTGACAGCCTTGCATGCCACAGCATGCTGTGCTCTTCGCACTGATAAATTCTGGACGATCCTTGGAGGGTGTCTTCCCACACTGAAAATCCTGACACTTAAAGGGCATTGCAATACAATAGCATTTCTGGAGTTGGTGTTCACTGAATGTCCTTACTGTTCAGCGTAAGGAAGGCTGTGGACACGCAACCCCGACCCAAAGCTCCTGGTGGCTCTGCTCCAATCCAGCCTGCAAGGGTGAGTGACTATGAGTGCCAGTTCCCAGCAGGAGCTGCTGCCCTTAATGCGGAGCTGCTCTGCGTGGGTGTATGGGGGAAACGCTGCTTGATATCCGCCACGCTGGGTGGTGCTACAAGACTGATCATCTGGGAAAGAAAGTATCGCTGGCAGGATTTCAGTTACGCCAGGAAGGAATAAATATATCAAGCAAAGGCTGTCATAAACTTACTGTAAATATATATATGTGTATATATGTTAATGCAACAAGAAGTAACCCTCTTGATGTCAGGAAACTGAGTCTGATTGCAATGCTTGGCTTTCCAGCTGGCGTTTTGTGGTTGCTGTTGATGATTGTGTAGAATGATCTACTATTGATGGCTAGT